ATGGGTAATGGAATTTTATACATCTATGTAAAGACCTAGGACTGGCCATCAGTAGACCCAAGTCCTCCAAGTTCTGCCTTAGCTAGTTATTGACATTTGCTCCGGGGGCCTGCCTTCTGCCTGGAAGGCTCCTCAACCTCCTCCCCAGGTAAGACCCACCCGGGGACCATACTGGTTGTAGGATGCGAGGTGAACATGACTGAGTCTCATGCGCCTTAATCTGCAAGATGAAGAGTTTGAGTAGGGTTAAATGCATCACACAGGCAGCACCCTTACGGCTTTGGCTCTATCTGCTTCATATCTGTGGTATTATTTGTTTGCTATTCTTTCTTCAAAAGCTTATTTATTTATTTTTTGGAGACAGGGTTGTGCGCCGTCACCCAGGCTGAAATGCGGTGGCATGATCATGGCTCAGTGCAGGCCTGACCTCCTGAGCCCAACCAATCCTCTCGCTTCAGCCTCCTGAGTAACTAGGACTACAGGTGCAGCCACATGCCCAGCTAATTTTTTATTTTTTGTAGAGACAGGATCTCACTATGTTTCCCAAGCTGGTCTCAAACTCTTGGGCTCCAGAAATGCTCCCTTCTCAGCTTCCCAATGTGCTGAGATTACAGGTGGAAGCCACTCTGTCCAGCCTAAATGTTTACTTTAAAAGACAACTTCATATCACTATAGTAAATATCACAAGTAGAAGGTAACAACAACAAAACCCAGTAGAATGAAAACAAGACAGTGTTATAAAATTCTTGCCAGATATTGCTACCTGCCAAGGCTCAGAGTCTGAGGCCTCTTCACAGTTTGTGAAGAAGGGAAATTAGCACATGCCGGAGAGATGGTAGCCACTTAATGGCACTGCAGTGAGACATTCTGCACTCGCTCAGGACCATGAGAGCTGAAAAGGGCATGCGTGATTCAGTGTCATTTGCTTTCATGTGTACCCCTGGTACCCACTTCTCACTTTGGGAAGCACTGGATTTGATCATAGACATGCGAGAAACTTTACCTGCCATCCTTTTGTAGATGGATGAGCTGAGCCAGGTGTGGAGGTGGCTGATCATGCCCTTGACCCAGCCATGTGGAGGCCTGTGCCCTAGATTCTCAAAATGCAGGAGTTGAAAGACAGACAGATAGACAGATAGCTATGCAGCAGGTGAAAAATAGGTAAGCAGGTAGACAGACATAGATATGCGGGAGAAAGAGAGAACGAGACAGAGAGCGAGAGAGAGAGACCTGTGCCTATGCTTGTGTAGTGTCACAGAACCAGCTGAGACACAGAGAGTGCCAGCAGGGTGGCCGCAGGACCCCGGCTATGACCTGTTCACATGCGAACCACCTTTGTGGACTGTAGTCAGGACTTTTATTTTAAGCTCAGTTCTAATGTATCTGTGCATGTTTTTGGGCTGGCCTTCTGCTGGCCAGTCACATTTCTTCAGAACAGGGTATGTCACTTATAAATAGACTCTGGTCCCTTCAAAACCCTCCGGCTCCTCCGAAACACTTTTCTTGCTCTCTTTGATCGACGAGAAAAATGAAGCTGCTCCTTCACATTGGCCAGAAGGGGTAACACTTGGGACAAATGCGTCTGGTACTATTCCAGAAGCACAAAGGAGTTTTGGGTGGGGGTTATACTTTTTGAGTTTTTATAAACTACACAGATAAAAGTGGACAACAGAGAACATGTTGAGTTCAGCCTGGAGATTGGGCCGGGCGCAGTGACTCATGCCTGCAATCCTAGCACTTTGGGAGGCTGAGGTGGGAGGATTGCTTGAGCCCAGGAGTTCCAGACTAGCCTGGGCAACATGGATTCTGTCTCTACAAATTTTTTTTTATTTTTTTTTTTTGAGACGGAGTTTCGCTCTTGATACCCAGGCTGGAGTGCAATGGCGTGATCTCGGCTCACCGCAACCTCCACCTCCTGGGTTCAGGCAATTCTCCTGCCTCAGCCTCCTGAGTAGCTGGGATTACAGGCACGCGCCACCATGCCCAGCTGATTTTTTGTAGTTTTAGTAGAGACGGGGTTTCACCATGTTGACCAGGATGGTCTCGATCTCTTGACCTCGTGATCCACCCGCCTCGGCCTCCCAAAGTGCTGGGATTACAGGCGTGAGCCACCGCGCCCGGCCTTACAAATTTTTTTTTTTAATTAGCTAGGCGTGGTGGCACACACCTGTAGTTCAGCTGCTCAAGAGGCCAAGGAAGGACAATTCCCTTGAGCCTGGGAGGTCAAGGCTACAGTGAGTGGTGATTGCACCAGTGCACTCCAGTCTGGGGGACAGAGCAGGACCCTGTCTCAAACAAACAGAGTATACTAAAGTGGTTAAAACAAAATGAAATATAGTGTTTTAAGGCCTGGTCCTCCTCCTCTTGACTCCCTGTCACCCTTACCAAACAAAAATTGTCATATAAATTATATAGAGAGAACAAAACTAGGCCGTAAGGTACTAGGGTTGTTTTGTTCCTCTCCATCTGTGAACTTAATTCCACAGTCCTTCCTTCAACACTGAACACCTACCCCAGGCCCCAGTCCCACCCACCACATTGCCAATCCCTGGGTGGCAAATCCAGCAGCTTGGCCAGGAATTACTTGGAGTTACCTCTAGTTGTGTCAAAGATGCTGTATTGATGCATCTATCAGCAGCCCACTCTCCCCTAGACTCAGCTGCTTAAAATAACAAGCATTTATGGTTGCTTATGAGTCTGTGGGTCAGTTGGGTGGTTCTTGGCCTGGTCGGGCTCACTCATGTGTCTACAGTTAGCTGAGTACTGGGTGGAAAGCACTGTTGCGTCTGCTCTTCCTAGCCCTGATTTTCGAAGCCTGCTTTGCTTCTCAGCGGGGGTTTGGTCTTCCTGAGCACCATCCCCGTGTCTTCTCCCTGCACCCTGGGTGGGGCTGTCTGTTACGATTCTCTCAATAGAAGGTTGAGGCTGGGAGACCTGTCACAGATCACATGGATTGCAGGTGAGTCCTCTGTGTTGCGGTCCACTGCAGTGTACCCTTCTAACCACAGCTGCTTCTGCTTTCCTCCACCTCTTACACACAGCATCGGGAATGCCTTCTAGCTGTTCATCTCTCTGAGTGGGCGGTGAGCTTTTGAGAGCAAAGAACACATTGCCTTTCCCCTGCTGTATCACCAGCATCTGGCCCAATGTCCATTATGCACAGCAGGTGTTCAGTAAATATTTGATGACTGAGATAAATGAGTGAATGGAATGTATTGGTGAAACCTGGAATGAGGCAGAATGAGGTCTTGACCCCTCAAGAGTAAAATAACTGGAATTTCCCTTATTAATTTTTATCCTGTCACTTTAAGCCCCATTGAATCCCACAGGACGTACGGACATGGTCTGGAGGGCCTAGTTCTTAACAGTCCCGATGTTTGCCTAAATTTTCCTAATGCTAGCCAGGTGTGGTGGCACGTGCCTGCAGTCCCAGCTACTCAGGAGGATGAGGTGGAAGAAGCACCTGAGGTGGGGGTGGGGCCTCGAGGCTGCAGTGAGTTGTGATCGTGCCACTGCACTCCAGCCTGGGTGACAGAGTGAGATCCTGTTTAAATAAATAAATAAATAAATATTCCCAACTCATTGCAGCAGATACTACAGGTTTGCCTCTGGTTGCAAATGTATGGCTTCCCCAAAAGGCAGCTGTAAAGGGGAAAGCAAGTGTATTCCAATAATCCTGGGGAGGGATTCCTGGTTCTGGTTTGTTTTTCCACTTGGTTTACCAGACTTAGATTCCTGATGTCTCCCAGCCCACTGTCACTTGATGCTCAGTACCCCAAAACCACACTTGTTCTCTATGACCTTGTGAAAGTCACTTGATGCCAGGGAACACTGTGAACCACAGCCTTTATCTCCCTGTGAGTACGTGAGCAGCTGTTTCCAAGATTAGAATAGCGGTGGTAGTGATGGTGGGAGATTCCTGGCCTCCTTTCTACAAAGTGTCAGTAGGAGAATTGGATTAATGGGTATTTATCTAATAACCTGTCCTGCTGGCATAGAATAAGAATTGCACAGGTACAGCTGCATAGCCTTGATATCCACAGCTATTCTTTTGTGAGGGAGGAGGGTACTAGAATTCTAATCATTGCGCAGAGCAGTGGCTCTCAGCCCTGGCTGCACATCAAGTCACCGGGAGCTTTAAAAAGTACAGATGCCTGCTCCCACCGCAGAAGTGCCAGTTTCATTGGCCTGGGGTGTGGTCTGGGATTCAGGATTTTTAAATCTCCCAGGTAACTCGTGTGCAGCCAAAGTTGAGAACCATTTATTTAGTTTATCCATTCTATCTCAGGAAAAGGACGGCAAGAATATGTTAGAATCTGTTAGAATTATTTGAATTTTTGTGGTTGTTAGAGCATGTAGGTTTATATGCTGAGATGAACCATTGGGTTAGACTAAGAGATTCATCAGGGGATGAAGATAAATGTCTCCAACATGTTCTGTTCCTTTCGTTACCACCCGCTGCTCCATCTCATCAAACTGTCTTGAGAATAATTGTGAAAAAAAGTCGCAAATGTGCTAACACTTGAATTTGCAAGATGCTCTTTACTGCATTCTCTCATTTGCTCCTCACACCAGGAAGTCGTCTAAGAAACAAGCTTTTTCTCAGTTGAAAGTCCAGAGGGGGAAGCTGACAGGCTCCGCTAAGATCAAGTGCCCACCCTGGCTCCATCAGCAGCTCCTGTGAGAGGGACACAGGTGCCTGGTCCGACCTCCTCTGCTGCAGGGACCACAGGGAGACCCGCACTGCTGTCGGGAGGACTGATATTAACAAGTCGGGGTCATTCTCGTCCCTTGTAGGAAAGCCTGTGGGAGACTGAGCCGTCACTAGAGCATGTTTGCTGAATAGAGATGCAGAGAAAAGGAGCTTGGGGGCCAGAGGCCAGCTTGGTTGTGGGGAGGAGGGAGTGTAAACTACTCAGCAACTGGGCCCTGTGCTCTCCCTTTGCTCCTCTCCTGGCATCCACTCAGGTTCTTGTCTTTCCTTTGTGATTCTGCCTTGCACCTGTTGGAGTTCATTAAGACACAGTTTATTTTACCATAGCTACATCTCAATGTCCTTTGAAGACCTTCTAGGGTCATTTTCATGCTTTCTGGTAGATTTCTCTTCTGCCTATGATGCTGTCGATAGGTTGATTCTTGCAAGTTTCCAGGGGTAGTGCTTTTTGACCTTATACCAAATTCTGGCACTTGCCCAGTCACAGGCGGTGGTACTCCATGTGGAAACAACTGTTTGAAATGGCTTGGGGCTGATACACATCACATCAGGAGTAAGCTCAGTGTTTGAATCAGAATCAAAACACAAGTCTCCTGAATTTTAATCACATGCTTTTTCTCCTCTGCCCAAGTGACTGGACTTTTTTCTTTTCCACGGTTTCTTTTGTAGGGGTTCAGCTGTTGCAAAAATAATTGGTAATAATGTCAAGAAACTTCAGAAGTTTGCCTCCACAGTCAAGATGTGGGTCTTTGAAGAAACAGTTAATGGCAGAAAACTGACAGACATCATAAATAATGACCACGAAAATGTAAAATATCTTCCTGGACACAAGCTGCCAGAAAATGTGGTAAGACTTTGGGGTGAAATGCACATTGGTTCATTCTGCAAGTTATGCTTGGCTGAGCAGCACCTGGGACTTGGACCTGGGACAGCTGCTTCCCTTTCCCCAGTTCCTTTTCCACTACCAATTGGTTGGTTGGGTTTGTTTTTCCTGACTCTGAAAATGGTTTTCTTATTAATTTGCTAAGGATGCCTTAACAAAGTGCCGGAATGGGTGCCTTAAACAACAGAAATTTATCTTTTATAATTCTGGAGGTTTTGAGTGTGAGATCAAGGTGTTGATAGGGTTGATTTCTTTGGAGGCCTCTCTCCTTGGCTTGTAGATAGATTTCTGTATTTTCTTTCTTTTTTTTTTTCTTTTAACCTCTAACGAGGATAGCAGTGTCGGCCCACACGCACCCCCCACACCCCCTGCTTAAAAAGTTCTCCCTGCTAATCTCAGAGGTTTACCATATTAAAAGAGACTCATACATTTGGACATGAGCAGAATGTCATCTAGCGAAATGGCACAAGGCAAAATATCAGCAAGGGAAAGCCCCTGTGTAATTTAGACCACCTTCGCTTAGATGTAAATTAAGGTAGAGAAGATTTCTGTATTTTCATATGGTCTTCCCTGTGATCCTGTCTCTGTCATAATCTCCTCTTATAAAGACGCAGTCGTATTGGATAAAGACCCACCCCAATGACATGTTAAGTTAATTACCTGTTTAAAGACACCATTTCCAGATATAGCCACATTCTGAGGTACAGCCCATAACAGGCTTCCTCCTGGGCATTCGAAGTGCCAGCCAGGTCTGGAGCTAACAAACTTGCCTTAGGCTGTTCATGCTCCCCAGGTAGCTCCTGATGTACCCTCTCTTAAGTACATGAGATCAGCTCGCTAGGACAGCTAATGCACTGGTCTGTAATTAAAATCAGGGTCAAGGCCTAAATTACAGAAGGAGATAGAAGAAAATGGGAAAATGTAAGACGGACAGTTTAAATTCAAGCTTAGTAGGTCTGGGAGAGAAAAATACAGGTTATTGCCTGACCTCCTTCTATTGACTTGCGGGGGAAGAAAGAAATGAGCTTGGGAGGTGAAAAGGGTGTTCCCTGCTGCCTGTCTGAGTGGAATTTATGAACTTTTTCTGTTATCAGATTCACCCCTTTGTGGCTTTCTATTATAATCTCTTTGAAAACCAGACAGTTGTGGCTGTCTGATTCCTATGGTTAACCCAGGAAGCTTATCTCCTTTGTTAATGAAATACCCTTTACTGCATATGTTCACTCACCAAACCTTATGAGCATGCACTGTTCATGCAAAGCACAGCGTTGAGTGCTGGGGACAGAAAGAGGAATAAGACAGTGTTGCTTTCCTCAAGGAACTGAGCAGGGGAGTCCGATCTCTAAATCAATAAATGTGGGGAAGTTTCAGTTACAGTGTTCGTTAGCGTCAAGCACTGTGCTAAGCAACACATACAGTCTCATTTAATCTTCTCAATAACCCTCTTAGGTTGATGCTACTGGTTTTCCTATTAGAATGATGATTTTGATTACATAGTGGAGGAAACCAAGACTCAGAGAGGCTAATGAACTTGTCCAGGATCACACAGCTAAGGGTGATGTTTCAGACTGATTCCTGGTGGACTCATCCCTGAGCATGCTGAATCTGTTGCCTTCCAGACAAGGATGACTTTCTCCTCTGGACTTGAGTGAGCCAGCATTTCCCTACAGTTATTCTTGGTACAGTTAGTGGGGGTGGAAGAACGTTTAGAGTTGTGAGCTTAGAAGTTAAGTTGTCCAAATATCTGCTGGAGAGAATAAGAGAGGCAGCTGTTTCCACCAAAATGGAAAGGCCTCGGGTCATCTCTAATCCGTTCTTGGCGCAGATCATTCTTTTGAGCTTTACCTTTCTCATTTTTATCAGAATTGGTTGCCCCTTCCCTTTGGTAAACTACATGCCTCATTGTTAAATTCCTCCCACGATGCCTGGCGCCAGTCCCTTGTGTACCTGTCTGCCTCCACCTGCCCCCAGCGTGTGACCTTGACTTCTGGTTCTTCATTCACCCACGGTCCCTAGCACAGTGCTTCTCCTATGGTGAATACCGGAGGAATGTTGGGGGAAGTGAATCTGCTGTGTAGTTCTGTGAAGCTGGAGCCTGCGCTGTGAACAGGGAGAGTGGGAGGGAAGGAATCGACACAGAGCAGCCAAGAGAGCCTGGCCCCCACACGACTGACTCCACACCCAGCCCTGGTCACTGGGTGTGGACAGAGGCAGGAGAGAAGGGAGGAAGAATTCACTCCCAGAACCCTGCTGATGTCTATTAGAGCTCTCGAACTTATTCCTCCTGTTTAAGTGGAATTTTTGACCAACATGTCCCCAGTCCCTCACCCTTCAGCCTCAGGTAATCACCTAAAAGGCCAGTTTTTAATTATTGTTTTTCTTTCCAGTTTAAGCAGGAGAGGTTTGTTGTATTTCCATCAACACTAGCTCACTGTTTATGCTGTCAGTTGTGCTGACTTCAGACTGAGCCTTTTCAGCGTGAGGCCCCCAAACTGCTGCCCATCTGACCCTTTCCCAGGTCCACTGTCATCATGTGGCCCTTCCCACATAGGAGCCTTCTGTTACAGTGACTTCACCATGTCATTGCCTGCTCACTAAAAGCTGAGCCCATCTGAGTTTGCGGTTTCCCTTTAGATCTGAATAAAAAGAATGCTCATAATTTTCTGTAGTCTGGGTGCAGTGGTTCACACCTGTAATCCCAGCACTTTGGTAGGCTGAGGCGGGAGGCTCATTTGAGGTCAGGAGTTCAAGACCAGCCTGGCCAACATGGCAAAACCTTGTCTCTATTGAAAATACAAAAATTAGCCGGGCATGGTGGCACGCACCTGTAGTCCCAGCTATACTCGGGAGGCTGTGGCAGAATTGCTGAACCCAGGAGACAGAGGTTGCAGTGAGCTAAGATTGCGCCACTGCACTCCAGCCTAGGCAACAGCAAGACTCCATCTCAAAAATAAAAAATGCTCATTATTTTCTGTAATTGCAAAATTGATTGTTGATCCTATTTTCTAGCTCTATTTCCAGAGTCTGTGTTTGGAGCTTATCGAGGTAGAGGGCTGTTTTACTTCCTGTTCCAGCTTCAGCCAGCCTGGTGTGACACCAGGATTTAGATTCCAGCGCCTCCGTGAAATACAGCTGCCATTGCCTCTCATCTTCTGCCCGCTTTTAAAAAACAGCTTCACTGAGATACAATGCACAGACCATACGATTCAGTGGCTTTTTAAATATATTTACATAGCCGTGCAGCCATCACTGTAGTACTAATCTCAACACATTTTCATCATCTTGAAATCTTGTACTCTTTCGTAGTCACCTCCTGTTTTCCCCAATTGTCCTGCAGATCTACGTAACCACTAACCTACCTGCTGTCTCTATAGATTTACCTATTCCCAATAGTTCATATAAATTGCATCTTAAATGTTTGGTCTTCTGTGACTGGCTTCTTTCACTCCACATAATGTTGTCAGGCTTCATCCACGTTGTAGCACATATTCGTTCCTTTTTATGGCTGGATACTAATACTATCCTGTTGGATGGATGTCCCACATTTTCTTTACCCATTCATAGGTGTACGGTCATTTGAGTTGCTTCCACTCTTTGGGTATTATGAATAATACCTTTATGTACAATGTGAACCTTTATATACAACATTTTGTGTGAACATATGTTTTCAGTTATTTCATGTGTATACCTATGCGTGGATATACCTTTTTTTTTTTTTTTTTTTTTTTTTGAGATGGAGTCTTGCTCTGTTGCTCAGGCTGGAATGCAATGATGTAATCTCGGCTCACTGCAATCTCCGCCTCCTGGGTTCCAGCGATTCTCCTGCCTCAGCCTCGAGGGTAGCTGGGGCTACAGGTGCATGCCACCGGCGAATTTTGAATTTTTAGCAGAGATGGGGTTTCACCATGTTGGCCAGGCTGGTCTTAAACTCCTGACCTCAGGTGATCCATCCGCCTTGGCCTCCCAAAGTGCTGGGATTATAGGCGTGAGCCACCTTCCCAGCCAGATATAATTTCTGAGGAACTGCCAGACTGTTTTACAAAGTGGCTGTACCATTTTGCATTCCTATCCATAGTGTATAAAGGTTCCATTTTCTTCACCAGCACTTGCTGTTATCTGACTTTTTAATCCTAGTGGGAATCTAATTCATGGTTTGCTTTTCAATTGCCTGATGGCTAACCACTTGAGCATCTTGTGCTTATTGTCATTTGTATATCTTTGGAGAAATGTGTATTTAAATCCTTTGTCCATTTAAAAAATGGATTGTCTTTTTATTATTGAGTTATACAGATTCTTTATATAGTCTAAATACAGGTCTCCTTTCTCCACAAGTGTTTCCTCATGTTCTGTGGATTTTCTTTTTACTTGCTTTATGGTATCCTTTGAAGCATAGACGTTTTTAATGATGAAGTCCAGTGTTTACCTTTTGACTCTCCTGCTAAATCTTTGATTATAGTTTCTTGCATAGGTCTGTATTCACTAATGTCTCCTCAAAAATAATGCCAGGCATTATCTGTGGTCTGAATAAATGCCAAGGATAGTAGAAGTGGTGAGGAGGAACAAACCAGGATGAAGAGTTTTGTTTCAGGGCTTTAGGTGGTATCACATGGGAAATAAGGTTAGGGCAAGACTTTTTAAAAATAAAGCATTTACATTTGGGTACTAGGGGTGGGGTAATATCTACTAATTTTTGCTGAACGCCTTCTTAAAATTGAAATATTAGTTCAGTGGGAAGCCTCAGTGTTAACTCCTCCCTGGGTTTAACTCTTTGATTTCATTAGATGAGTAGTTTTCCCTGGTGATCTTCAAATTTTAGTGTTCTTCAGATCACTGGAAGAGCTTCCCAGGGATATGTGGGCCCGCTCCTATAGTTTCCGATTCAGTAGGTTTCAGGCAAGGTCCCTGTATGTGCATTTCTCATAAGTTCCCAGGTAGTGGGGATGCGGCTGGTTCAGGAGCCACGCTTTGGGAATCATGGGTGTACATAATAAATTGATGTTATTGGTGGTGTACTGGGGAATACAGGCGGTGGATAGCTGTTTTTCCAGAAGCAGCCTTACTTACCAACAGTGGCATGTTTACATAAGCATCATCAGATAAGGTCCTCTGTCTGAGGGTCATGTTTCTGCATGTAGAGCCAAGTATGTGAATTTCACCTAAGCTCTTGGCTGAAAGTGAGATGAGAAGAACAGAGGGGGATTCCAATGTTAAGCCTCTGATACATCCCAGGTACCACACTGCTGTGTGTTTTACTCCAGGTGTTGTGTTGAATCTGAGTGCACATCCCCCAGAGAATGTAGGTGAGTTGCCGCGGCGTCTGGTTAGCTGACTGGCAGTAGAGCTTGGTCATGATGCTTTGCGCACCCACAGCACCTGGACCATTGTTAACCACGCCATTCTTGTTAGGTACCAGAATTGTTTCAGCATGCAGATTCATACAGACTTGAGGTAGAAATAACTGTAGCGGCCCTAAGAGATTAGATAAAAATGAGAACAGCCCTGGTACCTTTTATTTGGCTTAGCCTTGTTTATCTGTCATTACTATGATGTTGGTATAAAAAGGTATGTGGCAAGATTCATGGATTTTAGAGGGAAAAGCCTTCATTTGAATGACAGGAAAACTGTTATAATACAATATTAAAAAGATATAAAAGTGTTACTTTAATTCTATAAATATACCTTTAGATATTTCTGTAGGCTCAAAAAGGCCTTGGAAGGAATGTACTAAAATATTGATAGTGATTATTTCTGGTGCCTGGAGGAGCAGTTCTTATTTTCCTACTTAGATGTTTTTTCTTCAGATTTGATCCAGTGAGCCTATTTATAGTCATGAATGAATGGAGAAAGCATTTTAATCCTAATTGATTTTAAAGAGCATAAAATAGCATCTTTGGAGGGTGAGGAGGTCAGTCGCTGTTGATGAGAGGGAGGTCTTTTTCTTGCCCACTCTGATGACTACAGATAACATGTTGATAATAGGTAAAAGCTCATTAAGCACACACTGTGGACAGTGATGGTGGGACCCAGAAGGAATGGAAGAACCTTCAGGCTTGCCCACACAGACTTCACCAGCTTTGTTTCCAATGATTTATTATTATGCTTTTATTAACTTGGACCAAGAGCACTGGGCTCCTGAAAGTCTGGACATTAAGCAAACCAGCCCTGATGCCTTCGTTCTGAATTGTTTGTCCTACTTGCCATTGGAAGGCAAGACCTGTTGTTCAGAGTTGTGCTTCCCACATATTTCAGGATCTGGGATGACGGACACCCTCAGAAAGATTTTTGGCAGGAGGCTCACAAAATCAGTTGCCATTTCCAAAGCAGCGTCCTGATTATTTTCAGAGCAGAAAATTGGGTAGGGGCTTAGCTAAAGGTTTTATTCTAGAAGAAGAGATTCACATGATCTCATTAGCTGATGAGAACTTGTTCTGATTCTGCATGTTCTGTGAATGGACCATGCACACCATAAAAATACAGCTCGCATTGTACACATTGCTTCTGTGGGTTAAACCCTAAGTATTCCACCAAGGAGAATAAGCCCCAGTCACATTGTCCTAGAGACCATCACATTCCCTACCACCTGCAGGTTCCTTTTTTTTTTTTTTTTGAGATGGCTAGAGTGCAGTGGCACGACCTCGGCTCACTGCAACATCCCCCTCTTGCGTTCAAGTGATTCTTATGCCTCAGCCTCCTAAGTAGCTGGGATTACAGGTGTGCACCACCACGCCTGGCTAATTTTTACATTTCTAGTAGAGATGAGGTTTTGCCATGTTAGCCAGGCTGATCTCAAAGTCTTGGCCTCAAGCGATCCACCCACCTCAGCCTCCCAAAGTGCTGGCATTATTACAGACATGAGCATGGCACCTGGCCTGCATCGGGAGGCTAATGGAATAGAATCAGGAAATGCTTTGTTGGAGGGGGTGGAGTCGCCAGGTATGAGAGGAATAATGCAGCAGGTGGATTTTTGGTAATAAATCTTTGCCACTTGTGACTACCTAGCCTAGATTACCAATCTGAAGAAGCCCTTCCAAAGAGGAAAATAGGCAAATAGGCCTTCCTTGCCTTTGGGTCTGCCACTAATGAGGGAGAAGTGCTGAGCTTTGGGTTTTGATCTGCTGTAGGGGGAATGACTCTAGGTTGTCATTCAAACCAGGTTAAAGCTAAATGTTTTGGCTCATGTAACTAAAAATCCAGGTAGGGCTGCCTTCAGGTGCAGCCTGAACCAGCAAGTTCATATTAAAAGGGCCCTGTTTTTCCCCCTGTTCCTCTGCTTTGCCATCCACAAAGCTGGCTTCATTTACATGGGAGCCCCATGGCGTATATTCTCCCCTCACATTTGTAAGCATGGATGCGGTAGTTCCAGACTTAGCAGCATCCCACACTGTTCAAAGACCCGTGGCTACTCCTGAAGAACACGGAAGCATGTGTTTCCCAGAAGACATCTGCTGGTTTCTTGTTGGCTCCAATTGTTTAATGTGCCTTTAGCCTGAACAAGTGAAGAACCATCCCTGGAATGGGGTAGGGCCAATTCCACCCAAATGGCTTGGTTAAAATGGGGAAGTGGTAGCTTTTGAAGGGAAGTTTAGGGACACTTCCGCTAGAAAGAAGGGGAATGGAGGCTGGGCAAAAAATTTTAGAAGTCCTCTGCACCTCCTGGAGGGATAAAAGAATGAAACTTCAGATTTTCTCGGTGGAATCCTCTTGGTGAGGGAGTAACTCTTAACACAGGTATTAGTCAAGGTGACAGGCCAAGATATTGCAAGAGACGTAATATGTGACAAAGGACAAGAGACTTGTCTTCCTCTCACACAGAAGTACTCTAGTGCTTTGCTTTATGCTATTATTCTTGGTCACGTGTTGTTTGTTCCCTGTACCATCCCCTAGGCCTTGTGTCCCTCGCTGGGGTCAAGGCTAAGTTGCAAGGTTTTCAGCTCACGGAAAGGGGGAAGAGAAAGTGTGGGAGAGGCAACCCACTATCTTGAGGCCTCTGGGCTATCAGTTGTACCCACATCTCCGTCTCACCTCCAGTGATGAGAACTTGGTCCCTGGCCATGTGTAGCTGCAAGGACTGCTGGGAAACACATTCCCTGGCTAGATGACTAGTGACCAGCTTTCAGGTCTGTGATTACAGAGAAAGGGGAGAAGGAACTTTGCTGGGAGTTGGTAGTCTCCATCACAGCCCCCAAACCAAATTTCCTCAGAGGCTTGCCCATTCTGAATGATGCTCCTGTGACAGACATGGTTTCCTCAGAGAAGAATCTTCATCCAAGGCCTTTCATTTTGGGAACCAGGAATGCTTAATGGGGACTGTTATCAGTAGGTAAGTTTAAATACATATGACAGAAAACCTAAAATAACAGTGGTCTAAGCAAGGTCAGTGCTTGTCCATTTCTCCCTCATGTAAAGAGGTTTGTGGTTGGTGCAGCATCACGGTGGCAGAGACTTGCTTTATTCCACTGTTCTGCCATCTCAACATGTGTTGTTACTGTCCTCCTCCTGGTCCAAGGTGACTCTCTGAATTCCAGCCATGCCTTCACATTCCCACTGGCAAAACGAGGGAGAAAGGCCTTCCAGGACATTTTCTAGAAGTCATAGGCAGCGATTCCATGTATGCTCCCTTGATCAGAACTTAGTCACGTGGTACACCTAAGCTGTAAGGAGCGCTGGGAAACATAGACTTCTTTGCTGGCATTCAGGAGCCCAACTCGAAACTAGAGGCTCTAATGCTGAGGAAGAAGGCAGAACAGACACTAGGTGCAGCAAGCAGCCTCTGCCAGAGACCATGTGCCCTGGAGTCCTCAAGGCATGCCCTCACTTCTGCCGTGTTAAACTAATCTTCACCCTTAAGGAAAGAAATCGTCATAATAGCTGACATGTATTGAGTGTATATCAAGTGCCCGCAGTTTTCTGTATCATTTACTCCTCATGTCGGCACTCTCAAAGGAGAGATTAGCATGAGATCATTTACTGAGGGGCCACGGGGTCGAGGGAACCAACAGGGGTTGGTGAAGTACTCAGAGATTAGCAACAGCAGGAAGCCATTACCACCCCTGAAAGGGTCAGGGAAAGAACATGTCACCGGCCTGAAGCGGGCTTAGAGACATGGCCTTAGAGAGAGGCTGCCTGGCTGCAGGAGCAGCTGTAGGATGAAGCCAAGCCGGAACCACTGTGAGCCTGGGCAGAAGAGGCCCGAGGAGACTGATAAATACCCTCCACCTGTCTCTCTTCCCATCTTTTGATCTCCTGACAGTGCCTCCCATTGGATGAAGCCCACTGGAAGGCAGAGAACAAGGGAGCCCGGGAAACAGTTTAGAGAAAGCAGCCTCCTGGGAACAGAGTGGGGCAGAGGAGAGCAGAAAATGGATGGGGGGCTGGCGAGGTGGGAGAGCAACAGAGAGCAACCCACACAGTGTTACTAGGGGTGCCTTTTGCAGGTAAGGCAGTCGAGGAGTGGAGAGGATAAATCACCTGCGCAGCTGAGACAGAGGCAGGACCCTCTGCTTCAGACCCCATAAGGAATAAGGAAGGCAAAGCAAACACACTTGCCTTCCTTGTCTATCTGTGCAATGCGCTGCACATAGTAGGCCTCTGATAAATGGTCTGTGAGTGAAGCTGTGTGGACAGGCATGGTTTGATGTGGGAGGAGAAACAGTCTTCTCTGCCTTTTGGTTGCAGGTTGCCATCTCAAATCTCAGCGAGGCTGTGGAGGATGCAGACCTGCTGGTGTTTGTCATTCCCCACCAGTTCATTCACAGAATCTGTGATGAGATCACTGGAAGAGTGCCCAAGAAAGCGCTGGGAATCACCCTCATCAAGGTAACTCGAGTGCATGCTGCCCAGGGCCAGACGTTGGTTACCAGGAAATTTCATTTTTTCATGCTTTCATCTGCTTGAGATTTGGAGCTGAGGGGGGGAAGTTTTTCATTCATGTTTTTAAAGATGCCCGAAAGATCATAAAAAATATAAGACTAGTTTAGCTCAGATTTCGAACGGGCTGCTTTCTGTTGCAGCAGACTAGCAGCAGCAGTGGTGTGCGGAGCTGCACCACCCCTTCCAGTCCACTCTGGGGGCTCAGCCTGTCATCTGGAAGCCACCAGCGGTGTGAATTAGCTGCAAAATTAATAACCGTTAGTGCCCGTTCCTGGATATATACCCTAAAGCCTGTGTTTTTAACCATGAACCACCTCCAGAGGTCCACAGATTGAATGCAGGAAGTTCATGCACTTAAATGTGGAGGAAAAAAAATCCTTGCATTCTAATTCATTTTAACCTCTAAGTGAAATGAGCATTTTCTTCATTTATGAAGGTAGGTCACAACCAAAGTTTCAGTAACAGTAGTATTAGCAGGATCGGAGACCTTGTTTTCAATAGGAGTCACAGGGCTTTCATTTCACTTTATACCTTTTTCAGATATCTCAAGGTATCATTTATACTTGTCACTACTTGGAAATTGTGGTAATTATTAGACCTGCCATGACATCTTTTTCTAATTGCATTGATAAAACAGTGCATATATTACTTTGTCATACATTTGTTTTTTAAACAAATTTCAATATAATTGGATTCCTGGGCTATTTTAGATATTTTATTTTATGCATATGAAATTCTGAGAATGAGTCCATAAACATCACCAGACTACCAGGGGTAAGACCCATGTCGTTTAAAAGATTAAGAACCCCCGAGAGAGGCTGTCCCAGAGCATTTACAGGTGAATGTTCTTGAAGGCAAACCAGAGCAACCCAAATCTCATCAGCAAGAGAGCAGACAAATGAAATGTGAACTATTTATTTTGGAATTCTGTGCACTAAGTCAACAGAAACGAACCGGAAGGTTTATGCAGCCACATGAGTAAATTCTAAAATGATAATGTGGTGCAAGACAGCGCATCACAGGTGAATGGCGCAATTCTCTTTATAGACTTGAAATACAGGGATAATAACATCTAACATTGTTTAGGGACCATCCAATGTGGTCAAATAATCAAGAAAAGCAAGGGAGCAATGCGTACAGCATTCAGGTCAGTGGTTCACCCTGGAAAGCTGGGGTAGAAGGAGGATGATCTGAGGGGAGACACACAGGGGGCTTCAGTGGTGTCAGTCACGTTCTATTTCTGAATGTGAGTGATGAGCACATGTTTATTTTCTTTGTTTTATTCTTCCTTAAGCTGTACATATGCAGTATACACGCTTACTCTTCTAAGTAGGAGATATTTTTCAAGTTGTGTCGCCATGGGATATCTGAATCTGGATTACTTATGAAGCCGCGATCCCATGCCTCTTTGATTTGGTGGTTTGTTTTCTCCTAACTTCTCGACATGCTTGTAGGGCATAGACGAGGGCCCTGAGGGGCTGAAACTCATTTCTGACATCATCCGCGAGAAGATGGGCATTGACATCAGTGTGCTGATGGGAGCCAACATTGCCAATGAGGTGGCTGCAGAGAAGTTCTGTGAGACCACCATCGGTAAGCGCTGCCTGGGAGGGCCCCAGGAGTCTGGACGTTTGCTGTTTGAACATGTTCATGTTCCATTTCTGATATTTTCTGTAATAGACTCTTCCCTGTCCCTCTTAACATTCATAAGTGGGCATTCAGTGGAGTGGGGGTTTTACGTAAGGAGGCTATTTTGTGGGACTGAAGAGTTTCAACAACCTCTGGAATGAATATAAATAAATATGGCCAAGGAGACCATTCTGACTTGCTGTGATCCAGTAATAAGTTATCAAGGTTCAATACAAAAGTGCAAGGTTACTTGTACCAAGGAACAGGTGGCTGCATCCATGGTAGGGGTCTCCTGGCCTTAGAAACCCAAATTTGTTTTTTCTTACAGATGCTAGTATCTGGATCCTCATTGATTCCAATGAGATGTAAACATTGGTTGGAATGATCCCCATTTTCAGGTGAATAATAAGACTCAGAGAATAAATTACCTGCCCCAAGATCACACACTACTGTAGAAGTCAGGAACAAATTTGGGTCTTCTGTTCCCTGAAATAGTAAGCCTTTTCTACTCTTACACATTGTAGATTAGATACATTATTTTCAGATTGATGTAACGGAAATGTTCATTTCTTTTAAAAGGGGCTTTGAGAATCCTCAAGTGTCCATGTATTATATTAAAGGATGCTTTGTTGGAAGAGTCAGATTACTGTATTTTTAGATGCTTTGCAAAAGTTATCTACCACTGCAGAACTTACTTTCACCCTTGTCAAACCTGCAAGCAATATGAGTCATATCTCCTTGGCAGCTTTGTAAAAGGAAGCTCTGAGAGATGAATGCGCAGGAAAATGTAGCTTTGGATTCTTATACCTGCCTATAGATAGGGCTTTTAGGGTTTTTTGGAATTTTCTACTTTATTTTTAATTATGGAGATATTTTACATGATTATTGTGGAAGATAGAGATAATCAAAAGAAAGCCATTTAAAAATTTTGACAATTTTGTTATATATCCTTTTTTCTATTTGTACAAACGATTATGCTTGTAGTAAATCATATACTGTTTAATAATTGCTTTGTTTGCTGAATATGTCCTTTCAAAGTCTGTTAACATACTGTATATCCTCATAACTGCACAGCATTCCATCAACAATTCCATATATTTGGACACAAAACTTTTTTGAAACATAATATTTTTTGGAGAGGAGAGGTATCACAAATAATAAAAAGAAGAAAAGAATAGCATTTGATATCACCTGTCCAAGTTGTCATTTGCAAAAGTGATACAGACACAGGTTTAAAAAAAAATCCAAGGCTGGGCATGGTGGCTCATGCCTGTAATCCCAGCATTTTGGGAGCCCTAGGTGGGCGGATCATGAGGTCAGGAGTTAGAGACCAGCCTGGTCAACATGGTGAAACTCCGCCTCTACTAAAAATACAAAAACTAGCTGGGCATGGTGGTGTGTGCCTGTATTTCCAGCTACTTGGTAGGCTGAGGCAGGAAAATCGTTTGAACCAGGGAGGCGGAGGTTGCAGTGAGCCGAGATTGCGCCACTGCATTCCAGCCTGGGCAACAAGAGTTCAACTCTGTCTCAAAAAAAAAAAAAAAAAAAAAATTCAAGCACCATGAGAAGGTGGAAAAATAGAACTGAGATTGTAATTTCCTACCCATTTCCCTCTTCTCAGAAGGAATCGCTGTTAGCAGTTTCTTTTTTGTTTTTTTATAATTTCAACTTTTATTTTAGATTTGGGGGTACGTGTGCAGGCTTGTACATGGGTATACTGCATGATGCTGAGGTCTGGGTTATAACTAATCCCGCCACCCAAGTAGTGAGCAGAGTACCAAACAGGTCGTTTTTTAACCCTTCCCTCCTTTCTCTCCCTCCTCTCTAGGAGTCCACAGTATCTGTTGTTGCCATCTTCATGTTCATAAGCACTCAGTGTTTAGCTCTCACTTGTAAGTGAGAACATGCAGTATTTGGTTTTCTGTTCCTGTGTTAACATGCTTAGGATAGTGACTTCCAGCTGTATCCATGCTACAAAGGACACGATTGCCTTCTTTTTTAATGGCTTTGACTGTTAGCAGTTTCTAAATATTCTTCTGGAAAACATTTGTGTATATATGTATGTTGGTATTTACATATATGAATGTGTCTTATTGTTTTACAGTTAATTTTTTTTATTCGTCTGCTGTTTTAATGTAGCCCGTGAAATTGTTACGTAATTCCTTATATTTTTCCAAAAAGATTATTAACTAGTTTCTTCCAGCTCAATCCTATTTGCCAATAATCCTTTCCCAGTTCATTCTGTAAGGCTAAGTCTTCATCTCCAATCCCTGATCCAACCCTGGCCAGGACTCTAGCCCTGTTTGTTATAAGAAAGTTTCCAGTTGGGTGCATTAGGATTTTTTGGTTTGAAAAGACAGACAAGAACACACTGTTATATTTCTTTGCCTCTGGCATTTCTTTACCCAGTGCTTCTATGCCTTCTCTGTGGGTTGGACTGTGGTGGGCACTGATGACCTGAATTAAATTAAGTAAAGCATTTCTCGGTGGAGTGGCTCACACCTATAATACCAGCTACTCATGAGGCTAAAGCTGAGGATCTCATGAGGCCAAGAGTTTGAAACCAGACTGGACAATGTAGCTGGGAGTTTCCAAAAAGGAAAAAAAATTTTTTTTCAATTAACCTGTTGTGGTAGTACATACCTATAGTCCCAGCTACTGCAGAGACTGCTGTGGGAGGATCACCTTGAGCCTAGGAGTTGACAGAGGCTGCAGTGACTGCAGTGGCTCCCATCATGCCACTGCACTCCAGCCTGGGTAACAGCAAGATTCTTTAAAAAAAAAAAAAAAAATTAAGTGAAATCTTGAAAGTGAGATAGAACATGAAATTGTTTTATATAACCTGAATTAATTAATTTTTAGAAGTAGCGTCTTGTTTGAATTCCTGGCCTCATGGGATCCTCCTGTCTTAGCCTGCCAAAGTACCGGGATTACAGATGCGAGCCGCCGTGCCCGGCCTATAACCTGAATTTACTTGTGAGAATATATCAGACAAGCCCAAGGAAGAGGCGTGTTACAAAACAACAGGCCTATGACAGTTTTGACTCTTCAAAAAAGTCAGTGTCATGAAAGACAGTGAAAGGCCAAAGGAGTGTCCGGATTAAAGAGGACTAAAGAGATATTAGCAAGCCAGGTGTGGTGACTCACACCTATTATCTCAACACTTTGGGGAGTCAAGGTGGGAGGATTGCTTGAGCCCAGGAGTTTGAGACCAGCCTGAGCAACATAATGAGATTCCGTCCCTACAAAAAATACGAAAATTAGCCAGGTGTGATGGCGTGTGCCTCTAATCTTAGCACTTTGGGAGGCTGAGGTGGGTGGATCACCTGAAGTCAGGAGTTTGAGACCAGCCTGGCCAACAGGACGAACGAAACCACATCTCTACTAAAAATACAGCAAATGAGCCGGGTGTGGTGGCACACGCCTACAGTCCCAGCTACTCGAGAGGCTGAAGTGAGAGGATTGCTTCCGTGTGGGAGGTGGAGGCTGCAGTGAGCAGTGATCGCACCACTGCACTCCAGCCTGGGTACTGAGCAAGACCCTGTCTCAAAAAATAAAAATAAAAGATGAGACATGAGCGCTAAGTGCAGTGTAGGACCCTGGATTGGGCAGGGGGGACTGCTGTGGAAGACAACGCAGAGGTGATTGGTGAGATTTGAATGTGGATTGTATGTTAGATAATATTATATAAACATTACATTTTCTGTATTTGATCATTGCAGTGTGGTTATCCAGACATCCTCTGTTGATGGTATAGGGACCATTTTAAATGATGGTAGGTTCAGGAATCGTGGCCCACTTGAGTCTTCAGTGGAGGAAAAAAACGGGAGTTTCAGGCGTCAAAATCCTATCATGGTGAACTACAGTGCCCTCTTGTGGTGAGGTCTCCCTTCATTCTTAGGGCATACCACTGACTGAGGCTTTTATTTAGTCATTTCACAAATCTTTTTCAGACCGTCTTATGTGTCAGGCATGGTGCCAAATGTCTAGAATACATAAGCTCCTTGTGGAACTGCTAAGCACACAAACACATATGGAATTACAAACTAAAATAAGGATTTTGAAAGAGTTTTATTAAATAGGTTAATTGCCTCTAAAACTTGGTGTGACAGAGAAAGGAGATTTTCTTGTCCTTGGTTTACACTGACTTTTGGGCAGCCTTGCCACATGGCTGTCTGGCTGTCTGGCATTACCTGTTCTGTATAGATGGCCTGAGTCCCTGCCTGCATGCCACTGTTTGTGACTAGGTTTTTTGTTGTTGGTGGTGTTGTTTTTGAGACAGAATCTCACGCTATTGCCCAGGCTGGAGTACCGTGGCGTGATCTCGACTCACTGCAACCTTTGCCTCCCGGGCTCAAATGATTCTAATGCCTCAGCCTCCGGAGTAACTGGGAACACACACACACACACCACCACCACACCCAGCTAATTTTTGTAGAGACGGGATTTCGCTATGCCGACCAGGCTGGTCTCAAACTCCTGACCTCAAGCAATCCACCCACTTCAGCCTCCCAAAGTGCTGGGATTATAGGCATGAGCCACCACGTTGGCCTCTTCCAGCCKCAGACGGCTGCATTAAAGTGACTCGAGGGAAGGGCTAGTCTGCAGTGTTCAGGGGCACCCCTTCACGTGGGAGGCACTGAGCAGTGGGAGGGGAGACACGGTGAGGCTGTAATATGATGTAGGGGCCAGGAGCTGGTTTACGCAACCCAGATGATGCAGTAGCCTTGCACATAGTCTTCGAGGCAGCCTGGTGGACTGCTTAAAAAGGAAGAGAACAGTTTGCACAAACTGACATAGTTTTAATATTTGGAAAAGGGGAACTCAGCTAAATGACAGAACAGTAATGCTACAGAACAGACAATGTGTTTCTAAGTATTGGGTGTAGATATTGTGTTTTATCGTGAAACTTCAGAAAACAAAAGTAGAGAGAGCAGTATTATGAACCTCACATTCCCGTCACCTGTATTTAGAAATGATTAATTCCTGGCCAGTCTTATTTCATCGACTCCCCACCTTCACTCAGCCTTCAGATGGCCTGGATTATTTTAACATTGTGTCACTTCTTGGTATAATTTTAGTTGTTGATAATCACGCTTTTTTGTCAACAATTTTAATTGTTGACAATCCAGCCCAGGCTAGAGTGCAGTGGCGTGATCTCAGCTCACTGCAGCCTCTGCCACCCAGGTTCAAGTTATTCTCCTGCCTTAGCCTCCCAAGTAGCTGGGACTACAGGTGTGCGCCACCACGCCCAGCTAATTTTTTGTATTTTTAGTAGAGATGGGGTTACACCGTGTTAGCCAGGATTGCCTCGATCTCCTGACCTCATGATCCACCCGCCTCCATCTCCTGAAGTGCTGGTATTACAGGCATGAGCCACCGTGCCTGGCCGGTAATCATGCTTTTTTTGTGCTTTGGAAATGTACAGCTCTAATTCTGATGTGTCTTTGGTTTTTGCTTGTTTTATCCTCTCTCTTCCAATCCCCAAGAGGTGGTATAGCATACAGACTCAGAGCATGGCCCTGGCGGCCAGAGCCGGGTATGGGTTAGAATTTAGGCTCTCCTCCTACCAGCTGTTTGACCACAGGCAAGTTGGCAAACTTCTCTGGGACTCTGTTTCTCTGTCAGAACATGGAGAAAATCGTAAGCGTGCAAATGTCCGCTGATTCCATCATTATTACATGGAATCTTTGAGTGCTTCTTCACCACTGAAAGACTGTTTTCACGTAGGATTCTCATTTAGCTGTACTGTAGTATCCAGTGAAGCGGAAGCTGAAGGTTATATCAGAGGTTTTCACACTTGTCTACCTCTTGGAATCACCTGGGGAGTTTCAAAAACGATTGATGCCTGCTCCACTCCAGAGATTGTAATTTAATTGGTCTGAGATGAGGCGTGGGCTTTGGTATTCGTAAAGATCTCACATGATTGTTCTGTGCAGACAGGCTTGGGAACAGCTGGTCTCCCACCTCGAGCCAGGCAGAGCCCAAGTGCTGTAGTATTCAGTGTGCCTTCTGCTATCTCTGTGTGGTGACGTGATTTGGGAGCCAGGACTTGGCTGGTAAACGTTTGGTTCTGATTTTCAGTTTCTCTGGAGCTGGGTAGGGTGGATTTGATGAACCTCACCCTGAACACCACCAGCCACAGCAGATTTCACATCAGGCTTTGTAAGACTTTATTTTTGTTTGTGTTTGTATTTTAATCAGAGGTTTCCAAAACAAAAAAAAAAACTATGATAAATATGTCAAAACTACTGACCAGCCTCACATCCTAGGCACTCTCGCAAAGGAGGGAAATATAGTGGCAGCAAAAACAAGTAGGCTGACAGCATTTCCATCTTCTGAAATTCAGAGAAAGCAGATGATGAAACCACATACATGTTATGTTCCCAATTTTGAGAAAAACCTTTTTTTTTTTTGAGACAAAGTCTCACTGTGTCACCTAGGCTGGAGTGCAGTGACACGATCTCGGCTCACTGTAACCTCCACCTCCAGGTTCTTTTAGTAGAGATGGGGTTTCATCACGTTGGCCAGGCTGGTCTTCTGACCTCCAGTGATTCACCTGCCTCAGCCTCCCAAAGTGCTGGAATTACAGGCGTGAGCCATCATGTCTGGCCAAGAAAAACTTTAGATTCACGTTCAGTCAGTTAAAAATATATGTCAAATTGTAAATGATCACCTCTATTGGAAAAAGGGTGTTTACTTATTTCTGCTCCTATGTATTTTCTAAACATCCTTTCATGAACATATGTTACTTTTATAGTAAGCAGAAAGTTATTTTAAAGTGTATTAGGTGTGAAAATTAAGATTAGAGACTGTTACTTATATAATATATATTTTTTGTTTAACCTTTCGACAGGCAGCAAAGTAATGGAGAATGGCCTCCTCTTCAAAGAACTTCTGCAGACTCCAAATTTTCGAATTACCGTGGTTGATGATGCAGACACTGTTGAACTCTGTGGTGCTCTTAAGGTAAAGTCAGCCTGGTGATCGCTACTGCAGGGGAGGAGTTCATCAAGCAAGGCCAATGTTAGCATCATTGAGTCTAATCCTCAAGAATGGGCTCTGTGTTCTCTGCACCCCCATCTGCGAAGAATAGTGAATTGAGAGCCTTGTTTATAACTTCCTGTTTTGCTGCAGCCTTTCCTGGGTAGTTCAGTTCCTCTCTTACTCGTGGCTTGCTTCTACTTGTAAATATGGGGGAATTGTGATGTTTTGGTCTTTGGGAAGTTGGCAGCATTGGTATTTGGAAAGCATGGGATTTCCTTGATGGTACGGTTTCACCTAGGAGCAAATGATTCTATTCATTCATGTTTTTCTCCTATACTGCATTCTGAGCAGGAAGAGGATCTTGTTCCCTCTGAATTATGCTACTCTACTAGTTTGGCTGGTTGTTCTTGTTAAGGAAAAAACATAATCTGCTGCTGGTAGAGGTTTTTCTAAGAATAGTTTTGTCTTTGCGCTCTAGAGGGAGAAGATCTGATTAAAGAAGCGCCCTTCATTGACCAGTGGCCTTCGAAGTGATTCACCTGCCTCAGCCTCCCAATGTGCTGGGAGCTCCCCACACCTGGGCTCCTGACTTGTTGGCTTCTGGCTTTTGAAGCCTTAGGCACTGTCCCTCTCTCTGCCAGGACTTGGGGAACAGACGGCAGGGAGTGCTGCAGCAGTTACCTGCTCCTTCCCCCTCACAATCCAAGTTGCCTTCAAGTCACTACCATCTACAAAAAAGAGTGGGGGGAATAGGGGAAATAAAAAGTTCTCAATGTGAATGCTCCTTTTTTTTTTTTTTTTTTTTTTTTTGAGACGGAGTTTCGCTCTTGTTACCCAGGCTGGAGTGCAATGGCGCGATCTCGGCTCACTGCAACCTCCGCCTCCTGGGTTCAGGCAATTCTCCTGTCTCAGCCTCCTGAGTAGCTGAGATTACAGGCATGCGCCACCATGCCCAGCTAATTTTTTGTATTTTTAGTGGAGACGGGGTTTCACCATGTTGACCAGGATGGTCTCGATCTCTTGACCTCGTGATCCACCTGCCTCGGCCTCCCTAAGTGCTGGGATTATAGGCGTGAGCCACCGCGCCTGGCCTGTGAATGCTCCTTTTGAGCCACTTCTGAGTCATCTCTTTTGCAGCAAAAAGCCACTCTTCAGAAATCTGAGCACCTCGGGGAGGATAGGCAATCCGCCAGTCACCATCTTTATTGGGTAGGAGCTACAAAGGTGGAAAGAATGCCTGTCTATGCTTTCTCCTTACTTGTCTATCTTTTTTTCTAGTTGGAAGTTAAATCCACTTTCTAGAATTAACATTGTGTATATATGTGTGGTCACGATATACAGTAAGCATTTTAAAAAATTAAAGCCAATGAAAGGCTTGGGCTCCTGGGAAGCACACTTGCATGTTTTGTGGGTCATTCTTTGCATTAGCATTGCATTACATGCAGGTCCACTTATCCATGTAAGACGCTGGCTTTGGTTGCTTTGTTTATTTTTGTTGGTTGAGATTTTTATGTGTTTTTAATAGTCCTTCATTAAACTAATTACCACTCAACAGCAGGGGGCATCATGAATGCCTAATTGCTCAGGGCTGGTCTGAGCTGCTCCAAAGCTGTTTTTAAGTGACTGGATGTTTTTGGTGGTCATGGAGAAGCTGTGAAACCCTGCCCAGAACAAAGAGTGCTGGGTCAGAAGAAGGAGTCTAGATTGAGGTGAGGGCTTTGGAAAAGCTTCTGCTAATAGGAGCCCCTGCTAGTCTTGTGTCTGAACTTAGAATGTCTTTCATTTTTGCAGGCAGGAAGACGGTAAGTGGACGTGCTTCCTACCTTGATGAAAAGTGATTCACGGGGAATGCAGGGAGGTGGGGGCATCCTCCCTGCAACTTCCCACCCAATCTTTTAAAACGAGATCAGTTGCCATCATTCCTGTGGGCTTGCATCAGAGCTGAGATTTTTGAAAACGGAGAAACAGGCGCTTTTAGCAGTTATTAAATCCAACCATTGTCCTGTACAGATAAGGAAATGGAGATCCAAAAGAGCAAATGGCTTTAGGGTAGCAAGTACTGTCACAGGCGGAGCGTGAACAGGAGTTTTAAGACTCTTAGCCTGGTTTCGGTGGTTACTGTGTACAACTTGACTTTTCTGGTTACCAGGCAGCATAAATAAAAGGAAGCCCTCTCTCCTCAGAGCCTGCCAGAGCAAGGACACATGGCCATATGTTGGTTTCATTACAGAAATAACAGTGATGGGTTTTCCCCCTGACTATAACAGTCATTTTCCTTGTTTTTACACAACAGAAAGGTGTAAAGAAGGAAGTAAAAATCAAATCACTAACAATCCTATATCCTGAAATAACCTCAATTAATGTTTGTTGTATACCCTTCCAGTGTTTTTAGTGTGTACATATGTGTTTGGCTCCTTTTTAAAACAAAAACTAGATCTTACTGTTCAATCAGTTTGATTTTGTGTGTGTGTGTATGTGTTTTGTTTGTTTTTGAGACAAGGTCTCGCTCTGTTGCCCAGGCTGAGTGCAGTGGCACAATCATGGCTCATTTCAGCCTCAACCTCCCAAGCTCAAGCTATCCTTCCACCTCTGCCTCCTGAGTAGCTGGGACTACAGGCACATGCCACCATGACTGACTAATTTTGTTTGTTTTTTGTAGAGCTGGGATCTCCTTGTGTCGTCCAGGCTGGTCTTGAACTAGTGGGCTCAAGCAGTCTTTCCACCTCGGCCTCCCAAAGTGTTTAGATGCAGGCAGGACCCACCACGTCCAGCCATTGATGTGTTTTACCTTTTTTACATTAACCTTCTTTAGTAATATTCTCCATACTAGCCAAATTACAAAATGTACATTATCTTTTTGTACTCAAAAATGTAGAGTGTTTGGCTTACTAGGAAAAATAGGAAAACATCTCTCTACAAGGATAAAATAGAAAATTCAAAGGATTTATGCATGATCATTTGTACAGTGCCTCTTACTACCTTCAGAATGTCTTCCACGACCTCTTAGCTGTATTAATCTCTTTCTAAGGATATGTTCTTTTTTAAAAATCAACTTTAGGTGTAATTCATGTAATTAGGCTGGGCGTGGTGGCTCACACCTGTAATCCCAGCACTTTGGGAGGCCCAGGAGGGTGGGTCACTTGAGGCCAGGAGTTTGAGACCAGCCTGGCCAACAGGGCGAAACCCCATATCCACTAAAAAATACAAAAATTAGCCAGGTGTGGTGGTGCTTGCCTGTAATCCCAGCTACTCAGGAGGCTGGGGCAGGAGAATTGCATGAACCTGGGAGGCAGTGGTTGCAGTGAGCCAGGATCGCACCACTGCACTCCAGCCTGGGTGACAGAGTGAGACTCTGTCTCCAATTGAAAAAAAACAAAAAGCATAATTTATGTAATCAAACTACAGCTATTTAAAGTATGTAATACCATGGGTTTTGAGAGTTGTGTGCATGCACTCGTGAAAACCACTACCACAGTACACAACGTTTCCATTATCCCCAGACAACTCCGCATGTCCCTTTCAGGTTCCTCATCACCCCAGCCTCCAGTCGCGCAGCCACTGATCTGCTTTTAGATGCTATCATTTGCATTTTGTAGGATCGTTATAAGCAGAATTGTATAGTATGTACCATTTTGTGTCTGGCTTCTTTGATTGGAGGTATATTTTTGTTTGCTTTAATGTAAACTTTAAGAGGTACTTCATACAGAAGAGTATAAAAATCATAAGTATATAGTTTAATTGATGTTAATCCTTTTTTTCACCCTCTGAGAAGGGTCTTGTGTTCCGGGCTCAAGCTGTTCTGCCTCAGCCTATCAAGTAGCTGGGATTATAGGTACACACCACATTGCCTGATTTATGTTGTTGTTTTGTGTGTTTTTAAATAGTCCAGTGGTCTTTTGTTTTTTATCAACTTTTTTTTTTTGAGACAGAGTCTCTCCCAGGCTAGAGTGCAGTGGTGTGATCTCAACTCATTGCAAGTAGCCTCCCAAGTAGCTGACAAGTGTACACCACCACGCTCAGTTGATTTTTGTATTTTTACAGAGACAAAATACAAAACCCCGTAGAGACGGGGTTTCACCATGTTGGCCAGGCTGGTCTCAAACTCCTGGCCTCAAGCGATCCGCCTGCCTTGGCTTCCCAAAGTGCCGGGGTTACATGCGTGAGCCACCACACCTGGCCTATTTTTTACACCTACTATGCATGAATTAATAGGGAATAAGTCCTAACAGCTCAGGCTCCTTCCCATTGGTTCCCACAAAGTGTGCTTCCCTGGGTGGAGCAGACTGGTGCTTCAGTCTAATCCAGGTACCTTTCTCTTTGGCTTCCTTCTTTTTTTTTTTTTACAAATCCTGCCTCAGGTATATTTGTACAAATAGCGCAGGAGGACCCCAGCCCCATGTAGACATCCCTTGATATCTACAATAGCACCTTTTTTTTTAAAAGTTTTTTTAGCTTATTTATTTATTTATTGCTTTTTTTTTGAGACAGATCTCTCTCCGTTGCCCAGGCTGGAGTACACTGGCACAATCTCAGCTCACTACAACCTCCGCCTCCTGGGTTCAAGTGATCCTCCCGCCTCAGCCTCCTGAGGAGCTGGGACTATAGGTGCTCGCCACCATGCTCAGCTAATTTTTGTATTTTTTGTAGAGACAGAGTTTCACCATGTTGCCCAGTCTGATCTCAAACTCCTGGACTCAAGTGATCCACCAGCCTTGGCCTCCAAAGTGCTAGGATCATAGACCTGAGCCGCCACGCCCTGCCAATGTCACCTTTCTTATAGATTCGCATATATGTGGCCAAAAGAGCAACTTCGTGTTTTCCAAGAGACCTAGAGAGCATATGTCGGGTACAGTATTTCCCTTTCCCTTTCGTTTTTGTCATGTTGGTAAACTACTGGAAGATGGCAGTTCTGGCCAAAAGGCTATTATTTTTAATAGATTCTTTATCAGGATTAAGTTTCATTAACAGGGACCCAAAACAAT